CTCATGTGGCAGGAAAGCAAGGAAGTATATGGTTCCTAATCACGTGATTTATTTTAATGATGGAAAATGAATTTTACCTGATGATGAGCATTCAAAAACTACTTCAACTTAATGTTTATACTACAGACAGTTCAAAATGTCAAGATAAAGGCAGTTAACCATAGTTTCACTACCCCTGTGAAATTAGAACATTGAGGAAGTTTTAGAGGACAGCTAACAGCCACGCTATCGCTTCCCAGCATAGTTGGAGCAGGGGCTTTAACCTTACACACCGTAGACCAATTATAACATAACTGATTATAGCTACAGAACCGGTTACAATGCAGTCCTTTTTGGACTCCCATTTATCCCTGCCATTGAACCCCATGTAAACGCATACCGCTCATTGTATCCACGATAGTCCCCAAGATGAAAGGTCGGTTATAATGCGGTTGCCGGAAAATGTTTATGACAAACGTGGTAGCAAGTGTGTGTCTGAAAGGAAGCACACTGGGTGCGCCAGGAGGAGGGGACATGAAGTGAACGAAGGGTGGAGAGAAGAAAATGAAGAAATACCGCAGGACACTGCACGGGCTCGCCGAGTAAGGGAGGGGGGCAGTTGACTCGGCGACGGATAAGCCTTTGCACCAGCGCCAATGAGGCTACAGCGTACCAGCGTCGCTAGCGTGGTTCCAGCCGCCTCGCGGCTTGACATGGCACGTGTGATCCCGTCCTTATCAACTGCGCTAAACAGTTTCTTGTCAGGGAAAAGCGTCACCATTATAGAGCTTGCTACAAATATCGCGTTTGCTAACGCGTTCGTAAATTGAAAACTTTTTGCGGTTTTATGACTCGAGCTAACGCTTTTGCTGCCAGTGCGCTGTCAGAGGTAAGCATGGCAAGTTTACGTAGTTGTTGATCTCTCGGTCATAAACAAGAACTTCGTATCATACATGCTATTCAGTGCTTGAGTGCGATCTTTTCAACACCGAATCTTTGTGTCTTGGACAAATCATTCCGCGACAACATACCAAACGGCAAGCTAGGCCATATCGGCGTTGGTTGCGCTTTGATCGGTAGCAGTCAGTGTGCTATCTAACTTATGGTTTGGTACGAAATCAACGAAACTCTTTGTGGTGGCTGCACTTGATGGGAAGGAATACACATTGTCAATGAAAACGAGGGCGACATGTGTAGCGCTCGAATAGTAGTTCGCGATTCAATTACGATGTTTTAGATCGGGTGCATGCACTTGAAATCGAACGATTGGCATCTTTGAGCGTGTCGAATTTCGAACGTGATTCGACATAGTTTCTGAGTAATGCCCATAAATGAAGAGGTCTGAGAAGTAGCTGGCAAATTTTCGCAATGGTGCTTTTATTTGTTAGACCTCCCCACACTTTTCACACACACTTTTCACGTTCATTTCGTTGGCAACAAGTGTCTTTAGATGTCATTTTTTTTAACGGTGTAGTGTACAGCATATCTCAAAGGAGTACGGCCACTAGCGTGGGCTCGGTCTTAGCGAGCCACAGGACCGCGTTTACCATCGCCTCGAGTGACTAACGCCGCTACACACGTGTGTTCAGACAGCCAAGGTGCCAAGCACAGCATGGAAAGTACACAGTACTGCTTTCAAACAGGTCGCAACACTTTATTGCCTGGGCAGTACAGAGCTCGTTGCAAAATGGCGGCAGGAAAGCAAAGTAGACTTATTTACACGACGGGTGAAAATCACAACACAAAAGGGTGCTGCGAGCACGTCTCCGTGGGCAAAAGAGATTCACGGTGACACACCAGTGAGGGAAACGGGCTCTCGCGACTATGCAGCATGCTTTCGTGATCAGGGACAACAGGGCCCGATCGCTCGAGCGAGGGCAAACTCTGCTCGGGTTGGCTTCGAGAGGTATGAGTCGGCGTAGTAGGACCACGCGTGAAGACACCGCACTGCTCTTCGGCCTAGCGTTTGAAAGGGGCAAGGAAAGGTAAGCGTTCACCATGGGTGCAAGGCGCTGTTGGCGAAGTTCGAGTGAGCCCGAAACAAAAAGAGTTGACGGACGTGAAAGAAATGCGTGCTTACTTTTCGTCGTCCCAAGAGCTTCTGACTGAGTCCCGACACGCGCGCACAAAGTGTCTCGAGAGACTCAAGCACAGTGCCGCAGTCGACATCCGGGCGAGAGGGCTCAATATCACTCCCGCTACCCCAAACCGATGAACCGTGAGGAAAAGGAGGGTCATGTTAGGACATGAGAACGACAAAAATAGGCGACAAAGCTCGCGCAATGGCAGTGGGCTAGCCTCGATTCCCACAAAATTCGAATATTTAATTGTTCGTAAGCACCACGCATTGCATACTTCGATTCTCGGACACGCAAGGCTGTATGCTCAACACGTTTGGTGCAAGTCCGGGCCTTTAAGAAGGTTGTTTTGGTTACAGAGCGGTACCGCTTATATTGCGTTTATTCACGACTCCCGCAACTTACGTTATAAGCGATGTATACTGTAGTGACTTCTCAAATGGAAAAATTTTGCTCACAAGATATCCACACACTTTGGAATCAGCTAATGTAGGTTTGAGTCAGCAGTCGAGCACCATAACCACTCGATCAGCACGGCAGGTCAGCATTCCTTTTTAAAGGAAAACTCCGGCGATTTTTTCACCATGTCAGGGTAATAGTGGTTGTGTGTTTCTGAGACACTCTTGTCATGCGCCCGATAGCTGAAATTCTCAGCAAGTTTAAGAATAATCTTTAATAAGCAAAAAGGTGCAATACCGAAACTGAAATCCAACGAAGCGCACAGTCTACGTATCACGTCCCGTTTGGTAGGAACCTAAAACCGGAAGTTGTACAAGGCATGCTGGTCTTGCCGGCACGGTGTAGAAAAACTGTGAATGCCGGGTCGAGCAGACGCTCAGAACAGAGGAAGAGCTCTGCTCTGAGCTAATATATCCAAGACTGACAGTGTATCAGAGCTGTCGGACAGCGACGACTCTGACAGCAAATAATGCCATTACCTCGCCGTTTTAGGGGCAAAGCTCTTTGAGCCATGGACCGTGCGTCCTCGATGTATATGTAGCAACAATGATGGACGCATATGCAGACGGAAGCAAGAACGAACGGACGGACGAAATCACGGACCGACTGACGGATGCTTTGCTTCATTAACATAATCCATTCTGTGGATATGCTGCGATTTTTTAGGGGCGAAGCCTCTTACAAGTGGGTCGTATGTCCCATGTCATCATAGTCATTGTAGTCGACGTAGCAGCCAGTTACATTACATTGCATGTTAATAAAAATGGTGTCGCAGCATATCCATGAAGTGAATGATGACGAGTGAGGTGAAGCATCCGTTACTTGGCCCATATACATCCGTCCTGTCCGTTTGCTTCGCCCCACTCGTCAACATTCACCTTGTGGATATGCTGTAATTTTTTTGTTTGACCCACTACCATGACAGCCAGTCACGGAGCAACCCGAGCAGCTGGTGTTGCAATATCGCAACGAAGGGCAAGTCTTACCTGTGGGTGATTAGTCACTGTTTTGATATTACATAAAGAAGCATGACATTGCTACACAAGCGCATTTGTGGCGACTGCAGACCAGCGCACACCGACAAGAATGTTTGTTGCCAACAGATTCCTACTGTGCTGGGATTACTAAATGGGTTACAACTCAAAAGCTTCCATCAAGTGAATGCTGTCCTGATAGGACTTCGGCGAGAAATGATTGGAACACACGCAAGTTGTTTTGTTCGGTAACCAGTTGTCCCACCTTATCGCACTGATCCACTTCTCACGGAGGGCACTGTAACGTGGAAAGCCGCGATAGCAAACACTCTGCGTCTTGTGTGAGTGGTTTGTGCAGCCCACAATGCAACACCAAATACCACCCATTGCACACCCACCCACAGGGAACAGAAAACCGCGCGCAAACCACCAAAGCACTGGCCAAGCACCACAGAGGAAGGAAGAACAACGCCGAACACCGCCGAACACCGCCGCCGTCGCCTTGTGACCAGCACAGTAAAAGCTGCAGCAGCTAAAGATAGCGGTGCCATCAGCTGAGTCACTTCCGTTGACATGCCAAACATGACGACACATGGACAGTGTTGCCATTAATTCTGGCAAGCCAGGTGAGCTGTTTCGAGGCAATTTTCAAATTCATTAATTTGCAAACAATCAGAGCATCTCTCAAGCCTGTTGTAATTTGGCATAAATGACGGTAATGTGCAAAGGAACGTACTCAGCGAATTTCACAGATTCACTTACCTCGAAAAATCGCCGCAGTTGGCCTCCGAGACACTTTTTAGCAAGGTCGTATGAAATTGAGGCTTCTGGTTTTTGTCAAGGGTCATATTTTAAGGCAAAAAATGTAGCTAGATACCTCATCCAATGAGGAAAGCAATCGTTGGTATCAACACGAACAATGCATAGTGTCACGTGATCGGAGATTATGGTTCGATGATGACGTCAGGACCTTACAGGTCTCCAAAATTTGTGACATCGTTATGACGCTGTCATAGGACCTTATCGCATTGTTAAAGGTGATCCAATCTTAGAGGAAGTGCAAAACCAGATGAACGCTTGCAATGCTACCAATCTTTGAGGTGACAGTCCAGCAAAACCATGCCCTAGGAACACAAAGCTATAGCAGTCAGTGCCACTCTCAGACCCTTAGGTCTTGTATTAAAGTTGCTTCAATGTAATTATTTAAGATATCAGCCCAGAAACAATATATGATTTGTATGATTTGTGTGAAAGCACAATTCAAAGCACAGAGTAGTATAAGGCAACAGCCACGTGGCCATTCTGAGTTACTTTCTTGAATATTTGAATCTCGCTTGATTAAAAACATACAAGACTGTAAGATTTGGCGAGTTAGTGCAACATGATTATAAGTGCAACTGACAGTAGGGGACAGACGAGAGGACACAGAGCGTTTTCTCGTATGATTTGCACTCGTAATCATTGAATTGAAAATTTCACCATGTAAGCACCTCTAATGATCAAACCTAACCTGAGAAGGTCATCCGTGAGGGTTCGAGTGCGGCCCCTGGTGCCATGGGGCTCTGTAGGGAGGCCCTCAGAGTTGGAACGATGCACCAGGCCTCCTCGTTGTTGTTCTAGCGAGGAAGACAGGTGCAGTGGAGGAAGACTGTGCTGCTGCCATTCAGGTGACGTTGACAAAGGTTGTGGCAGGTGACGAGGGGGGAGGAAGTGTGGTGCTGACTGCGAATGTGGCAGCAGGCGTGCCGGTGGCCCTGCCCCGTTGGGCGCTTCACACAGGGGCCATGCTGCCCCTCGCAGACACTGCCGCAACCACTCCAGTTCACGACGGTGCCGATTCTCCAAGTCCTCTCGCTCACGCTGCTGCCTGCACGAGAATTGTCATGAATGAGCACTCTCCTCTCGCTACTAGGAAAAACTAATTTCTATCATTGACCACAAAATTGAGCTATAAGTGAGTACATCATAGCTGCCTTACCGTGACTGAGTGGTTGGCAGCACATTCTGAAATCTACAGGGATGGTCAAATGTTTGCAGGCCAAACTGCCATAGCAACACATGGGATAGTGACACTCCCTGTACATTATCGTGAATCAGCTCGGTCAAATGTCCACTGCTGTGACAGTTGAATAACAGTGAACTGATCAAATGAGAGAAGGAGAATAGTTTGAGCAGCCCATTTTAGTGTTTATTAATAAAATCTACAATTAAACCAAAAGAAATATAGGAGACATTATTTTCTTTTTTTTTAAACTGCAGTGTAATGTTTATGATCCACGTTGAAAGAAGTAAAATGGGACAGAATATGAAATCTGAATCTAAAATTAAGCATCCGATTTCTTCAAATTTAGGTCAGAATAATTACACTACAGAACAGCAACAGATGATGTCCTCAATGAATTCGTTGGTATGTCTGCTGCTTTCAATGGCAGTGAATTCGTTGCGGAATCGGCACTACCAGATGCGTGTTTTTTGCCCGCTTGGTAAAATAACCAAGCCGGTGCACTCTTACTAGGTTTGGCTGTCCGCATCTTGCGAAAACCCCGCGTGAGAGCCCTCTAGAGTATCACAAAGAAAGCACTGCATTTTTTAAGGGCATAGCCTGCCTACAGAATACGAACAGTGAGCACACTGCCCACGGTTACCGTGCTTAGGTACACCTATGCAAGCTGGCAGCATGAGGGCCAACTATGTGACACACACTCTCACGGTGATCTGTCAGTCTAAAATGGCGCATACCATAATGTAGCCTCAATTAAGAGATCGCACAATCACAGCAGTAGAAATCATTCTTGCAGGAACATGAAAATCATTTCTTAAAATCTTCAACTCTTTTTTGACCGTGCCTATAAAACGTAGGTCTACGCCTGTGAATTTCATTAGCCTGCTGATCTGTAGGGGCATTGTGGAGCTTCCATGATTACACCTCCCCAAAATAAATATATTTATATCAAGTAATACCTGACTGACAAGGCAGAAAGAGCAAAAAAAAAGTGCTAAGAGGACAAGAAACTGGACAACTGGACAAACGCCACTTGTAACGACTGTTTTGACCAGTCACGCACTAACCTGACAGACAGACAATGAACTTTTTTAAAGTCCCGAGAAAATTTCTTTTTACTTAAAAGAGATTTCAGACGTGGTTACACCTAATTCAATAAGGTCCCATATTGAAACGTGTTGACGTTTTTCTACCTTATAAGTTTAGAATATTTTTATTGTGTGGTTTGATGCCCTACTTTGTGGGAATCGAGCACGTTCTCCCACTTTGTGCCTCGTTCCCCAGCTAGTGCGAGTGCTGGTCCTGTGCTTCTCGAGGGCCAGCACCACCGTTAATTGGCGAAATAGCCACTGTGGCTTCTCCACCAGGGCCTTTTGACAGTTTTTCCTGCATGGAGACATGTAAAAAACTGCCCGGAGAATGCCTTCTCCTGGCGTCACGCTAGCGCACTTCATAGTGCTTCGCCGATCCTCATAGGTCGCTCGACTGCCCAGTGCTCGCATGCCTGCAATGAAGAAGCCATGCTCTGTTTTTGTGGGCAACTTCCCGTTCGCATGTTTTGGTGGTTTCCCCTTTGTGTGGCAACTGTGGCGCTGCAGGCTAGTGTACTTAATAGGTCTTCAGGAGTTTCCCTGCTGGCCCACACGCCCGTGATTGTTGCACTGTGCAGTATTTTCGGTTAATAAACCCATGTTTGTTGAAGAACTGCCTGGAGTGCCGTTTCTTTGCCGTGTCGGGAGTCAACAAACCAAGCCATAGAGTATTTAGGTGCGACAGCAGTGATCGTATTCCTTCCCGGTAGCATCGTAAGGTAAGCTTCTTCAGCAAAACTATCTTCACAACTTTAGGGGTGCTCTGTTCAGCACTACCTTTTGGTATTTGAATATTTTTTGGGCTGCTATTTAGCCTAATTCGCTAAAATATGCTCGAATCAATAGCAATTTGATTTCTCTTCTCACTTACACTTTTTTCATTCCTGCATCTGTAAAAGTTGTAGAAGAAGAATATAACTCGTTTAGTTTGAGATGTTACATCTCTAAAACACATAGCCGACAAATATAGCGGAATGAAAGAAGGTAACCCACTTAGATTAGTTCGAACATTCATAATAAGCAGAACAGATTACGTAGCATTGTGCCTACGATGGCACTCATCAGAAAGATACAAATGAGACTGCCTAATCAGGATACTCTAGAAGAAAGCCATAGGACTCTCCATCACCACTAGCAACGATAATCTACTGCAACTAGGTCTACACAATAAAGTGAATAAGTTCATCGAGGCACAGTGCAATGCACAATACAAACACCTATCCAAAACTAAAACGGGCAGGAAAATCAGGTAGGTATTGTGTATCACACTCAGCAGGACTTCAATGTATATATGCCCAAACACATCAGAGGCATGATAACCATCTTTTCTATACCCAGAAATATGCATCCCACCCACGATCAAGGCAGATGGATGGGAAGGCAGAGTCTGTGACATACAAAAGAGATTTAGTAACAGCATGGACACTGTATTCGTAGATGCAACTAGATACAGGCACAAGAGCGGCTACACAGCAGTGCTTATAAAAGAAGTCACAAGGCCAAAGCAATGAATGCGATAGCAGCACATCGTGCTGTTATACAAAGTAAGGCTAGGAGATTTAGGAACCATACAAAATGTAGTCAACATGGCTGGTTGTGCTTGAATTGACTCTGTCACGTCCGACAGGAGCCGAAGTCCAAGCTTAGCATTGAGAAACGCAACAAGCCACAAGTTTTTACGTCGAAGTACGCTAGCATTGAAGTCTCCAGTAACTATCACCGACACATCTTGTAGGCACACCGCATGAAAGTTCTGCAGCAAGAAGCTCATGACTCTGGCTGCGAGCTTCCTGGTGAGATGTACACTGTCGCAACGACGAAGCCGTACAATTACCCCTGAAGATTCATTGTTGTCACTGTGGTCTCGAAGTGTTTCCATCAGTGCCTAATATGACATCCCCTCAGTAGTGACGACTCAGATGTCCAGATATAAAATGACAAAAAAGTGTCCTCCACATGCAGCGTGGCCCCACACGTGACACTAACTAAAAGTGTGGTACTGCTAACGTAAATGTAGTTTTCTTTGTTTTTGGTTTGGTGCGAGGGTGCATGTGCCTGCCGCGGAAAAACCAGTGGCAATGCCAACTCATGGTACGCAGGCCCGCCTGCGCGTGCTCTCGCATGGGAGTCACTAGGGCCACGAGTGCACCGTATATGCCGCCACCGCTTTGCGCTTCGTTGGTGGCAAGGCAACCACATGCATGTTCGTGTCGAAATCACAAAATTCGGGGCAACAATCCTCATTGTATGTGACGAAAATTTGTTGTATTAAGGATATCTCCCGCTGATACTTTATTACATAGAGGTCGCAAATACATGTGCTTTTATGGGATAACGGTGGGGAATAGAAAAATTTCGCTATATTGAGAAATTCGTTCTAAGCATGTTAAACTGTGTGTGTATGTCCATATATATATATATATATATATATATATATATATATATATATATATATATATATATATGTATATATGGTCAAGAAATAAAGGAACACACTTACGAAAATTTGATACTCTTTTACTCTACATTTCGGCTGAGCCACGGCTGAAACGTAGAGTAAAAAAGTATTCATTTTCATAAGTGTGCTGCTTTATTTCTTGACTGTATGTGCACCGGACCCACAGAACTTCTTTTCTAAATCATATATATATATATATATATATATATATATATATATATATATATATATATATATATATATATATATATATATATATATATATGCGCCAAGGAGTGTATAGGGGAAGTCATTAGAACCAATGTAATGTAAATAATAAGAAAGAAAAGTGGGTGAAAAAATAACTTGCCGTGAGCAGGAATCAAACCTACGACCTTCAAATAATGCGTTCAATGCTCTGAGCTATCACGACGGCTATTCCCCCAGCCACTTTACTGGGTTTATATGTGAATTTAAACGTGGGAGTGTCAGTCAGCGCCACTTGTAGCCATGGCGGCGAGTGTGGCACACTCTTTTATGAGCCTGTATGGCGTCACGTAGCACGTGAACTTATCACGAGCTGGCAGCTGACCAATAGTCCCTCGTATACAATCTAACGGCACCAAGTCTGCCAGTACGGGACCCTCGTTAATGAATAAGGGAAAGAAGTGCATACCGAAGGGCCCGTTTTTCCGTGTTTTGACACAATATTATTGAGATATAACAGACAATAAGGCCAAGGAGTGTATAGGGGAAGTTATTAGAACCAATGTAATGTAAATAATAAGAAAGAAAAGTGGGTGAAAAAGTAACTTGCTGTGAGCAGGAATCGAACCTACGACCTTCGAAAAGCATCAAACGCGTTATTAGGCTTAAATTGTTTAAGTTGTCGACGGAGTTGGGCGTTTGGAGGAGTAGTAGAGCCGGTCATGCGGTCAACAATAGTGCGGCAGTATGGGTCGACACGTTGTTGTGAAACAGGGACGGATTGAGGGCCGAGTGATGAACTGAGCGCTGCGATTCGAGAGGTGGTGCCGTTTTGGAGTAGCAATGGTGAATGGCCTTCGCTGAACAAAGGACAGCTCCATAGAGCATCAGCATCTTAATGCTTCTCCCCAAATCCGTAGGCGATATCGAAATCGTACTCCTGAAAGCGAAGCACACAGCGACCGAGGTGACCCGATACGTTTTTCAGTAATTAAAGCCAGCATTGGGCTTTATGGTGGGTAACGACGGTAAAGTCACGGTCGTGAAGATATAGTCGAAATCTCTGCACTACCCAAACAACAGCAAGGCACTCCTGGTCGGTGATGTATAGTTAGTTTCTGCAGTGGTAA